TGTCTATTGAGGACTGATGAGGACAAATAACTGCTGCATCTCCAATCAGGTATCACTGAAGATGATGAAAGCTATCTATGGCGAAACAACACCACATCCCGATATTGCTGGATCACTGTACAATTGAGCAAACAGAATACAGGATGATGGTTGTAGCCCCCCCCCCCCTCCACACACAATACGCTATATCTACATACATATCAGCCACACCCATAGTTGTCTATTGAGGACTGTTAAGGACTAGTAACTGCCGCATCTGCCGTGAATCGTGACGATCTAGAGGTGGCTATACTGTGTTGAAGCGCCATCTAGCAGGTACTGCGGAATGACATGATCAGCACCAAGGACAGCACCAGCCTTATCCTTATGCGGGTTCTTACCAGCAGACAATGATGACATGATAGGTCTTGTTTTTCCACAATGTTTTTAATACCACACAGAGCAGAAGTAAATTGTTTCGGGTGTGTGAAAAACTGCGTAAGGCGAACGCCAAGGGCAGGAGGTACGGACTAGCCCTTGCGGAGACTGGCTATCGGACTGCACAGTACATAATAATAGAGTAGAGTAGACCTTTTGGCGAATAGGGAATTCTTGTGTTTAGTTGGGGTCACTCGCCACACCAATGTACTGTAATTCGCGATTGTACAAATATGACCTAAGGTATACCAGCGGGGTTTCCTGAACACGAGACCACATAAAAGACCCAACATGGTAGAAAGATCTTATATCAAAGACGACACTGGACGTGATTTAAGCACCTAAAGACGCAGTGGTGGCGGCAAAAAAAACAGGCTACCTGGAAAACTGCGTTAAACATAGGCATGAAAGAGGCCCTGGCCTGAACACTTAAGGCATAGGCACGTACGCAGGTTACCTGATATGTTTACGGACTCGGGTATTTCCGAACCTTTTGTGTATTGAACCTTTGACCTTTGTATTGGCGGATGACGTAATGTTGACACAAGCAGTGTGAAACCTGTGCCTATTCAAGTCAGACGCATAAAGCTAGTACGGAGACCGTGAAGACAAGGTGTTTTAGAGATGTTTTCGTAGCAGAAAGTCGCCATGTTGCGGGTGTGTGAGAAACTCCGTGAGGCGGACGAGAAGGGCAGGAGGTACGGACTAGCCCGGGCGGAGACAGGCTACCTCCGTGCCCTGGTGGACGCCATGGCCGACACGGACAGGCTGGCGGAAGTGGAGCTGCTCAAAACTCTGGGCGACGTGAACGTGGAGAAGGGAAGACTCGGGAAGGACGTGGGGAAGTTCAACACAGCCTTGGCTCTTTACATTGCTGCTATGGTACGGTGTTACCATGAAGAACAGGCAGATGGTATAGAACACCGCTACCACTACACGGAGAGGCTTTTACAAGGGCTGTCGTCACAGGGGAAGGAACAGTCAACTGAAGACAAGGAGACGACTACACCAGCAAAGGTAGCGGCAAAGTTCCAAGATCTGGACAAGAGACGGGCTACCGGAGGTAACACAGACTCTTTGCTGGTTGGATACGCACAGGTGATGGTAGAGGCGATAGTAAAGGACAACAGCATGTTAGAAACAGAAGCGATCAAGAGTCTGGGTGACGTGTACCTAAAAAGAGGAACAGAAACTGGAGACACTAGAAACTTGACTAGAGCTACTGCTCTGTACAACAGGGCACTGGCGCGGTGTCACAACGTTCAAGGAGCAGTTGTCATTGTTCACCGCTTACTGCACACCGCAAAAATCAGACAAGACATCACCACAACAAGAAACAAGGTGAGTGAACTATTTTGACTTGAGCATGATGGAACCCGCCATTGCTGAGTAGAATTCCGGGTTTCAACTCGGTTTGTTTATCTCCACAAATCCCGCCATGCATGTAGCACCGCTAATGGCGAAAGGCATTTTATTGATTCAATGTAAACATGTTTTCCACTGCTAGGAATCTTACGTCTTATATCAATATATTTACTTCATTGTCTCCGCGTACAAAGTTGTGATTTGGGTAGAATGTGTCTTTATCTTTGTATCTTTGACGGAAGAACACGTACACTGGGTTTTGTTTGCTTATTTTTTTGTCTGTGCATAGACGAAGATCTTCGCCAATGGACTGTTGTGTCCATAAATGTCACAACATTTAACATGTCTACTTTAAGTTTGCCTTCCGGGAGTCAAGTCCGGTCTTTTACCTTTGACCATCAAATGAAACTTGAAACTTGAAACTTGAAACTTTATTTTCAATACAAACATGGCAGACAAAAGTCTGAATTGCGTTGGTATTTACAAACCATTGAGCTCGTTTTATATTATTATACACAAGCTGTGGGTATTTACAGTTTTAAAAGTAAATTCTTAATTTCTATATAAAACAAATTGGCACCTCTTAAAGATAAAAAGATCAATTAAAAACTCGTAGTTAGGCGTAGATTGACAACAAGATAGGTGCAGGGTAAACTTTAGATTCGAAATTCAGACAGTTTGTTCAGAGTACAGTTCAGAGTTCACTGTCCCTTGTTGAGAAGGTTTACGAGGTATGGGATAGGAGAGGTTTTAAGTCTGTTGGTCCGACAGAGAGGTGTGTTCAGTTTCTGCTTGTTGCGAGTGTTTCGACCAGATATTTCCCCCCTCGACCTCGGGAGCCAGTCTCTGAATGTAGACTCCATCAGCGTCCGCGCAAACTTCAGGCACAACTGCTCCCTTCTGTCCACCAGTGATGTCAGTCCAAGGTGCTGAAGGGCGTTCGCATAACCGGTGTAGTCGTTACCAAGCACGATCCTGCAGGCACGTTTCTGGACGCGTTCAAGCTTCACTATTTGAGCTTTAGTGAGGCCAGATGACCATACCGGGACAGCGTATTCCAGTATGGGCCTGATATATCCAGTGTAGATTGAAATCAGGTCTTTGTGGGATAGGTTGCATCTTCTCAGTCTTTTAAGGAGAAACAGTTTCTTTGAAGCTCTTCCTACCATCTGCTTGACTTGGGAGTCCCAGTGCAAGTTATTCTGAATGTGCAGACCTAGGATTTTAAGACTCGTCGCTACATTCAGTGGTGTGTTGTTGATTTGCAAAGGTGGCAGAGGTGGTAGCTTCCTGCAGAAGGTGATGTGCATGGCAAGACATTTCGACCCATTCAGGAGCATATGGTTACGGTTTGACCATTGGTATAACTGGTCTAAGTCTGACTGAAGTGTAGAAGGTTGCTGAAGTCGTCTTGTTTGTAGCATGTTCATGTCGTCGACATATTTCCACACAGGAGTCACAGTGTCGGAAGCGGCGTCATCTATGAGTACCAGGAATAATACGGGACCTAGAAGAGTGCCCTGTGCAACTCCACATGAC